ACTCACCAAACAGAGGGTTCTCTATGCAGATGAAAAGCTACTAATCCATGCATACTGCTGTCTGACGCTGACATTACTACAAGACCTTCATCAGAGTCATCATGACCCAGAGCCTGAGGATGGTGTATTATTTAAAAGGAGTCTATACATCGTAAAGTAATGAGGTCATGGAAATAGACGCCCTATTTATAAAATATTCAGCTGTGGTGTTTTCGCACTATAGTGCTACTCTACATCAGCCCAGAGTGTAAAGCACTTAAAGTGTGTGTGTGTGTGTGTGTGTGTGTGTGTGTGTGTGTGTGTGTGGGTGTGTGTGTGTGTGTGTGTGTGTGTGTGTGTGTGTGTGTGAGGCCTAGCATTACTATACTTGTGGGGACCTAAATCTGTCTACACAGTCACGTGTGGGGACTCGCCTCCCTTATGGGGACAAATTGGAGGTCCCCATGAGGGGAATCATTAATGTTAGGGTGAAGACTTGGTTAGGTTTAGGATTAGGGTTAAGGGTAAAGTTAAGGGTTAGGGTTAGGCATGTGTTGGTTATGGTTAAGGTTAGGATAAGTCTCCAGGAAATGCATGTAAATCAATGTAATGTCCCCTGAAGTGATGTATGCATGGTATGTGTGTGTGTGTGTGTGTGTGTGTGTGTGTGTTCACTCTTACAAACTTGAACAAGTGTAAACACAAACCCACATCCGAGAGACTTGATTTAAGAGCATAATAAACACATGTTTTATTGCTAGACTGATCCCATTGACACCATCTGGGTTATATCTCTTTGAAATGTGCACAGACATCATTTTTAAGAGTAAGGTTAGTTTCATATTCTATCTGATGTCTGAAGCAAAAGGTGCATAATAACACATTGTAATATCTAATAACTGGAAGTAGCCTGAACATTGTATTTAATGCAAATGTGTGACTGAGATCATGTGAGCAATTACGACCTGTTGAACCTCGTAACAAAAACCGGTATGCAAACGGTTATAAAGGAGTGATTATTGAAGTACAAGGGATTTAAAGGTGTTTGTTTACCTGCAGTATTGAGAAGTGTGGAGTTGGACTGGTTCAAATACAGCTTGTTGCACGTCCTTTCTCAATTTCCTGACCCTCCATTTCCAGTCAACTGTCAGCTATCCCAAATATACAAAAACAATCCAACATAGTGCCGTTTAAACCCGGACACCGAGGCACTTTCTGAGCTGCAGATGACAAAATAATTCATTCGTATTGAAGCAGATTGATTGTATTGCACAAAAAAGCACATTTTATTTGTCTTCTAACACTATAACGGTTAACTAGGAGTGAACATTTAGCACAAACAAAAGAATGAAATGCATTAATGCATAAGGAAATGTTTGACAACCAAGACTGAAGCTTGTGATTTGACCAGTTATTCTGTTCTTGACAGAGAAAATCCTGTTTGTTTTTCATGTATTGTGTCTTGATATTTGTCTGTTGATGTTAAACATGGAGCTGCTGTGATGCTGGTCACCTTTCAGACTTGATCTGACCATTAAAGTATCCAGAGAGGGCAAAAGTATAACATCCTTTACTCAAGTAGAAGTACAGATACTCGTGTTTAAAAGTACTCTGGTAAAAGTAGAAGTACTGACTAAACTTCTTTACTCAAGTGAAAGTAAAGAACTTTGAAGTGTACTTCAGTAAAAAGTACCCATAACTAGCAGCTGTTTTAAAGAGTACCTGACCTCCCTTTATATTAATAGAACAATAATGTCATTGTTAGCTAATGAATGTTTCCATGCTGAACAACGGCAACATGACAACGTTTCCATTGGTCCCTCTTCTTTAGAGAAGACCAGGAAATGATGGATACACGGATCGTGTTCAAATCAATAGGCACGCAATGACTCTAAAGAATAATGATCACGCATCAAACACACATTCAGACTAAAGGAACCAGCTGTTTGGAAAATGAGAGAAGTAGAAAGTACAGGTATTTGAGTTCAACATGTAAGAAGTAGAAAGTACAGGTATTTGAGTTCAACATGTAAGAAGTAGAAAGTACAGGTATTTGAGTTCAACATGTAAGAAGTAGAAAGTACAGGTATTTGAGTTCAACATGTAAGAAGTAGAAAGTACAGGTATTAGTGTTCAACATGTAAGAAGTAGAAAGTACAGGTATTTGAGTTCAACATGTAAGAAGTAGAAAGTACAGGTATTTGTGTTCAACATGTGAGAAGTAGAAAGTACAGGTATTTGTGTTCAACATGTAAGAAGTAGAAAGTACAGGTATTTGAGTTCAACATGTAAGAAGTAGAAAGTACAGGTATTTGTGTTCAACATGTAAGAAGTAGAAAGTACAGGTATTTCAGTTCAACATGTAAGAAGTAGAAAGTACAGGTATTTGTGTTCAACATGTAAGAAGTAGAAAGTACAGGTATTTGAGTTCAACATGTAAGAAGTAGAAAGTACAGGTATTTGAGTTCAACATGTAAGAAGTAGAAAGTACAGGTATTTGTGTTCAACATGTGAGAAGTAGAAAGTACAGGTATTTGAGTTCAACATGTAAGAAGTAGAAAGTACAGGTATTAGAGTTCAACATGTAAGAAGTAGAAAGTACAGGTATTTGAGTTCAACATGTAAGAAGTAGAAAGTACAGGTATTTGAGTTCAACATGTAAGAAGTAGAAAGTACAGGTATTTGTGTTCAACATGTAAGAAGTAGAAAGTACAGGTATTTGAGTTCAACATGTAAGAAGTAGAAAGTACAGGTATTTGTGTTCAACATGTGAGAAGTAGAAAGTACAGGTATTTGAGTTCAACATGTAAGAAGTAGAAAGTACAGGTATTTGAGTTCAACATGTAAGAAGTAGAAAGTACAGGTATTTGTGTTCAACATGTAAGAAGTAGAAAGTACAGGTATTTGAGTTCAACATGTAAGAAGTAGAAAGTACAGGTATTTGAGTTCAACATGAAGAAGTAGAAAGTACAGGTATTTGTGTTCAACATGTAAGAAGAAGAAAGTACAGGTATTTGGGTTCAACATGTAAGAAGTAGAAAGTACAGGTATTTGAGTTCAACATGTAAGAAGTAGAAAGTACAGGTATTTGTGTTCAACATGTAAGAAGAAGAAAGTACAGGTATTTGAGTTCAACATGTAAGAAGTAGAAAGTACAGGTATTTGGGTTCAACATGTGAGAAGTAGAAAGTACAGGTATTTGTGTTCAACATGTAAGAAGTAGAAAGTACAGGTATTTGTGTTCAACATGTAAGAAGTAGAAAGTACAGGTATTTGTGTTCAACATGTAAGAAGTAGAAAGTACAAGTATTTGAGTTCAACATGTGAGAAGTAGAAAGTGCAGGTATTTGAGTTCAACATGTAAGAAGTAGAAAGTACAGGTATTTGGGTTCAACATGAGAGAAGTAGAAAGTACAGGTATTTGAGTTCAACATGTAAGAAGTAGAAAGTACAGGTATTTGAGTTCAACATGTAAGAAGTAGAAAGTACAGGTATTTGAGTTCAACATGAGAGAAGTAGAAAGTACAGGTATTTGGGTTCAACATGAGAGAAGTAGAAAGTACAGGTATTTGAGTTCAACATGTAAGAAGTAGAAAGTACAGGTATTTGAGTTCAACATGTAAGAAGTAGAAAGTACAGGTATTTGAGTTCAACATGTAAGAAGTAGAAAGTACAGGTATTTGAGTTCAACTTGTAAGAAGTAGAAAGTACAGGTATTTGAGTTCAACTTGTAAGAAGTAGAAAGTACAGGTATTTGTGTTCAACATGTAAGAAGTAGAAAGTACAGGTATTTGAGTTCAACATGTAAGAAGTAGAAAGTACAGGTATTTGAGTTCAACATGTAAGAAGTAGAAAGTACAGGTATTTGAGTTCAACATGTAAGAAGTAGAAAGTACAGGTATTTGGGTTCAACATGTAAGAAGTAGAAAGTACAGGTATTTGAGTTAAACATGTAAGAAGTAGAAAGTACAGGTATTTGTGTTCAACATGTAAGAAGTAGAAAGTACAGGTATTTGAGTTCAACATGTGAGAAGTAGAAAGTACAGGTATTTGAGTTCCACATGTAATAAGTAGAAAGTACAGGTATTTGTGTTTAACATGTAAGAAGTAGAAAGTACAGGTATTTGTGTTTAACATGTAAGAAGTAGAAAGTACAGGTATTTGTGTTCAACATGTAAGAAGTAGAAAGTACAGGTATTTGAGTTCAACATGTAAGAAGTAGAAAGTACAGGTATTTGAGTTCAACATGTAAGAAGTAGAAAGTACAGGTATTTGAGTTCAACATGTAAGAAGTAGAAAGTACAGGTATTTGGGTTCAACATGTAAGAAGTAGAAAGTACAGGTATTTGTGTTCAACATGTAAGAAGTAGAAAGTACAGGTATTTGAGTTCAACATGTAAGAAGTAGAAAGTACAGGTATTTGGGTTCAACATGTAAGAAGTAGAAAGTACAGGTATTTGTGTTCAACATGTAAGAAGTAGAAAGTACAGGTATTTGAGTTCAACATGTAAGAAGTAGAAAGTACAGGTATTTGTGTTCAACATGTAATAAGTAGAAAGTACAGGTATTTGAGTTCCACATGTAAGAAGTAGAAAGTACAGGTATTTGAGTTCCACATGTAAGAAGTAGAAAGTACAGGTATTTGGGTTCAACATGTGAGAAGTAGAAAGTACAGGTATTTGGGTTCAACATGTAAGAAGTAGAAAGTACAGGTATTTGGGTTCAACATGTAAGAAGTAGAAAGTACAGGTATTTGTGTTCAACATGTGAGAAGTACAAAGTAAAAAGTGGTGGAGTAAAGTACTCATACCAGAAAAATGTACTTACTACAGTAACAAAGTATTTGTACTCCACTACTTCCCACCTCTGATCGTATCATATGTGATATCTCACCCTCTGTGTGTGTGTGTGTGTGTGTGTGTGTGTGTGTGTGTGTGTGTGTGTGTGTGTGTGTGTGTGTGTGTATGTGTGTGTGTGTGTGTGTGTGTGTGTGTGTGTGTGTGTGTGTGTGTGTGTTTCAGGTGGCGGCTCAGGCGGTGCTGTTCCTCTGTATGAACACAGCGGGGGTCTTCATCAGTTATCTGTCGGACCGGGCTCAGCGTCAGGCCTTCCTGGAGACGAGGCGCTGCATCGAGGCGCGGCTGAGGCTGGAGACAGAGAACCAGAGACAGGTGAGGACAACAACAACACAATAACGCTCAAACAAGGTTTAAGGCCAAAGATTCAAGCGGGAAAGTATTTTGTTGAAAGGTGCTTTATAAAGAAACTTGCGTTGCCTAATGCCGCTCAAAGAAGGTCAACGCTGTGGGTGGTAACTGTTGTATTCAGAGACAAAGTGTGCCATAGTTTATAGACTGGAATCAATGGAGGAAAGTCCTCAAACCCTGAAAATGACTCAACGTTTGTTTGATGCTGATTAACGAAAGTTTGTGGCTAACTGATAACAATTAGAAAGTGCAAACCGCTTTGTCCAAAGTAAAGCATCTCAAATCTAAATGTTGTCCAAAACTAAAGACCTTGTTCGTGTTGATTAGCGAATATTTTATTGTTTTCTTCTATGACGCAAATGGGTGTCAATCAACTGGAAGGGTCAATGGTTATATCCCAAGTCCATGCAGTCAACATGTTGAAGTGTGCTTGTGTTAATGCTAAACCCCACATTGCTCCTGGAGGCGTGTTTCTGGCATTGCAGTGTCGAGAGAACTGGAGGATGAAACCTCTTTATTGGTCACTCATGTTCATGCACACACGCAGTGACATGTGTTCTCTGCTTTGTACCCATCCTAGGACTTGGAGCAGTGCAAGTTGATTTGGATAAATCAAATCAAAAATCAAATCAAGTTTTATTTATATAGCACATTTATAAATTATTTTTGGTGGAGCCAAAGTGCTGTACATATAATAAAAACAGCCTACAGTAGAAACACTTTACAGCAAATACAACAGCACAGATTGTTCAGAATATCAGTGTGAGAAAAACGACACCCTCTGTCCTTAGACCCTCTGTCCTTAGACCCTCTGTCCTTAGACCCTCTGTCCTCAGACCCTCTGTCCGTAGACCCTCTGTCCTTAGACCCCTCTGTCCTAGACCCTCTGTCCTTAGACCCTCTGTCCTTAGACCCTCTGTCCTTCAGACCCTCTGTCCGTAGACCCTCTGTCCTAGACCTCTGTCCTTAGACCCTCTGTCCTTAGACCCTCTGTCCTTAGACCCTCTGTCCTCAGACCCTCTGTCCTTAGACCCTCTGTCCTTAGACCCTCTGTCCTTAGACCCTCTGTCCTTAGACCCTCTGTCCTTAGACCCTCTGTCCTCAGACCCTCTGTCCTTAGACCCTCTGTCCTTAGACCCTCACATCGTACAAGGAATGACTTCCAGAGAAAACCCACAGTTTAAAGGGAACATGGGAGAAACCTCAGGGAGAGCAACAGAGGAGGGATCCCTCTCCCAGGACAGACAGACGTGCAATAGATGCCGTGTGTAAATCCAAGAGATAATACATTTACAGCATAGACCGAATGTTAGGAAATGCATGTGTCTGTAATAATAAGATGAATCCACGAGGATGTCAGCTACAATCCTGAGGAAGCCATCAGGGAAGCAGCATGACGAGACCCAAGGCAGGACCGCAGAGACAGGTTCAGCCACGACCCGAAGTCCACGACTTAATCCAGAACTCGGGATAGAGGATCCAGGACACAGGACTACAGCAAGAGGATCAGCCTCGACTCCGGATCCCGGCGTAGATATAGATACAAAACAAGAACAAAGATTTGGCTGGGTTAATCGGAAGAAGAGAATACACAGACACAGACAGAGAGGGAGAAGGTCATTGGAGAAAAGTTATTCTTGATAACCCTCTAGAAAGATCTCATGAACTTCCCCACTCAATCTATCAAGACCCGAGCAGTTCTATTAGAAGTCCAAGGTACAGGCACGTGCAAAATGCATGTAATAAGCATTGCTCACACGCTAAACAACACACTTGATGTGGTAAAGACAGCCAGTGTTTCTTTGACCTCCTGTTGTTGAGTGATGTAGCTCAGTGTGCACAGACTTTGATAAATAAAGCAGAGCGATTGATGGATTTCAGTCGACAGCACTGACTGTTTGCAGCTCGGCTAATGAGCCCGCAGAGAGGACAGGAACACGGACGCTACATCGATCCGCTGCTAACTGGGCATCAGTGTGGTGGACACACACACGCACACACACACACACACACACGCGCACACACACACACTGCTGCAAACACTGCCTAACAAGCTACCAAACACACACACACACACACACACACACACACACACGCACACACATACTGAAATAGAATCAACATAGTCTGAGTCAGATGGGCACAGAAGTATAAACACACACACACACACACACACACACACACACACACACACACACACACACACACACACACACAGCGACAGAGGGCTTTGTTTACGCAGTGGAGTGGACGGCCGGGCTCTGAGAAGCCACAGAAAGCTTTTACGCTGGCGTGTTTCCTGGAAGGTTTTTGGCTCTGAGCTGTAATGGAGCGAGATGTCTTGATGTGAACCAATCATGGCCTTTCATTTCTGTCTACATGCTGTAAGAACACAGAGCAATGTTTCTGTCATAAGGCCACACTGTGTGTGTTTCTTTAAAGTGTGACTGTGACATGAGACAGGAGTCAGGTTCACATCCAGATAAACCACCGTTGTTTCCGTCTATCTATGCGAGTAGCAGCAGGTGGCTTTTCTCCAGTCAGAAAGTACTAAATGTAAATCTGACATTTGTGTTATTATCATATATTATTGTGAGGAAGGTTAGGGCACATCAGATCTGTGTGCAGCTGATGAGAATATTCCTCACTAGCAATAGACCGTTTACCATTTATTTTATGGGCAAATAGAAAACTGCTAATACAAGTATTAAACAGAAACAATGTTGTCCCCACCACATTGCATTAAGATAATGTGTTTAAAATGTTCTGAAAGTAGCGTGCACAAAGAACTAGCCACTTTGTTTATTTATGTATTTATTTAGTACAATCTGGAGGACTGTTCTCACTGTGTATTTCTGTAAACGCAAGTGGTGCAATTTGTACCTGCGATAATTGTAATATTAAAGTCATAATTGAATAGAGAATAGCTTTGCAGCAGCGTAGTTACTTCGTGGTCTGCCACAAGCGAGCGGCAGGAGCGGGGCTGAGCATCAGCTGGCTGCTTGGCTTGCTGTTCAAAACACCTTTTTTTGTATCCATATCTCTCGCTAGAATCTCCCACCATCCAACAACAACAACAACAACAACGTCAAGCCTTTGGGCTCTGAAACTACGGGGCGGGCCGAGGACAAATACGCATACACATAACATAATTAGTGGCATTAAAAAAAAAATGGCGTTACGTTATTAACGCGTTAACTTGGCAGCCCTAAATATAATAAATAATGACACAGCAAAAGTACATCCTTTCCACTGGAAAGACCCTGTCCCCCCTCACTTTCCTTGCTCATGGTTTTCTAATGCAGGGGTTCCCAAACTTTGCCATGCCAAGGACCCCATATAGCATTATCCTCTTTTTTAAATGATGAGTACATTATGATGTAACACAATATTAAACAGTAATATCAACATTAAACATATTTTTAAAGCATTTTTAAAGTGATTTCTGTCTTTATAATATTATATAATTTTGAACAGTAATATGAACAATTAACATATATTTTTTGCATTTTTGAAAGCTACTTATGCCTTAATAATATTATATATAATATTCAACAGTAATATTATCAATAAACATATTTATATTCATATATATAAACATCAATATTTGCTACATCCGTGCTCTCATCCGGCTGCAGAGCGAAATATTCACTAGCTCTCACTTGCTCCAAAAGCTGAGCAGATACTCAGTTTCACTCTCAGTAGCGGCAGCTCGATTCTGATTGGCTTGAAGGGCGGTCGTGAGATTTAAAAACAATAAAATAAAATATTAATAAATAAAAAATATTAAAAGATTGGCATCAAAGGACACATAGATTGATAGATATGCAGTTATTAATAACATCTAAAAAAGAAAAAAATGTAATTCCGCTTTCCCTCAAACTTTGCGTGACCCCCCTGGCGGCCCCTGGCGGCCCCCGGGGGGTCGGGCCCCCACTTTGAAAAACACTGTTCTAATGTACCTAAAGATGATGCTTTAAGTAAAAAATGATGTTTTCCCTCTCCCAAAAGGACTGATTTGATGTAGTGTAATTCCCAACAGCAGCCCTGAGAGTATTTTCTGAATGCCCCAAAATGGCGATATAATAGAATCAATTTTATTTTTAATAAACTGATGTTTACTGTTTTGGATGAAAGCTCTCACGGTTCAGCACAGATTATGAATAGGAAATCAGCTTCAGGCGGCAACTCTAAATTGGACCTTAAAGCTGAATTTAAACTGAAGACCCCCCCCCCCCACAAGCGACAATAAAAGCAGCACGGAGGAACAAAGTGTTTTCCACTGAACCTTTAACCCCATCGGAGGGACGGTTGAAGATGGAAGTTGTCAGGGAGCTGCAGCAGGGCTTTAGCTCGCGGCTAAATTCAAGCTACGCTAATGACTTTCAAAGCTAATCTGACACTGAGTCCCCTGGCTCTCATCTGACTGAAAGCAAAGTGTGTGTCCAGTGAAGCAAACACACACCGCCCACTGTACACACTGCAAAACATGTGCAGACGTGAGATGCAGTTAGATTGACCAACAGTGTAGTCAAATGAGATTTATTTACTTTTTAAATATTCACTTATATTTTCCTGAAATATGTGAGAAAAGCCAAGCTGACGTGTTTTTACAGCTGAAATTAAAATAATTGTGAGTTCATGTGATTTATTTCCTCCAACTATGCAATATATAACACCCTTAACATAAAAAGAAAGAAGTACAACAGTGAAATAGACATTGTTCAAGAAAAAGAGAAATACAAGACAGAGAGATAAGACATCATGCAAAATGAAATACTGTACAGTAGAATAAATACCGTGTACCCGTATAAACAAGTTTTCTACCTGGAAGTTATTTTAAGCAAAAATATAGGCTGCATGAGGTATTTCTTTTAAAACTGTAAACCAGCTACAGTTTGAGTGACCGCTGACTCCCTGTGGTGCAGCGAAGACAAAACAAAAAACAAAAATGAGGGTCAGAC